CCATGTAGGATGATTGGACTCGTAGTAGGTTGGCATTCCAACCCGATGGTTGAGGGCCTGGGGTATTCCATCCTGAGGGATGATTGGACCCATAGTAGTGGTTGTTGTATGTGTAGGAGTATGGGCATTCCAACCCGATGGTTGTGGGCCGAGAGTATGCCATCCTGGTAGGATGATTGGACTCGTGGTATGTTGCTATTCCAACCCAACGGTTGAGGGCCAGGGGTATTCCAACCTAATGGTTGACCGGACCCATTGTATGTTGTTTATTGCTATATGTGTATGGTTATGTGTGTATGGGTATTTTGGGGTAACTCACTAAGCTTTCGAGCTTATGGTTTCAGTTTATTGTTTCAGGTACATCAGGTGATCGTGGCAAGGCTAAGGCGTGATCGTACCGCTCCTCATATTTCATGATTTTGTGATTTGGTTCTGGGGATACTCTGATGTTTAAAACTGTTTTGAAAACAAGTTGTATTAACTTAATGGTTTTTGAATGGATTAAAATGTTTTAAATTGGCTTAAATTTTATGGATGTTACACTACTGTTGTACCTGGTTCCTTATGAGGTTAAGAGAAGCTTTAAGACAAGGTAGGGAAGTATCGTTCATAGAAAATATGGACGATATCGTTAGTTCTTGCATAGAACATGTATTTCCTTATTTTTATCATGGGTATACTTCTAAAAGTGTATTCAAGTATATGCGTACAAGAGCTGTCTCTGGCAGACCATTACAAACTTTGTTCTAGATGACATCCAACTCATATACTGTGTTTGATTTTGAAGAAAACTTTTGTCGGCTGACCCATGATGCTCGTTAAATGCTTGCCAACATTGGACATGTGAAACGGCCAACGGGCAAGAGCCTATTTTCCTAACATCTGTTGGAATGTAGTCAATATTGATTTTCTCGAATTTTTTTGTGTTATCGGTAAATCAACACAATGTACCGATAATAATGCTTACCGAGGCAATTCGTGGCTACATTCAACGGACTTTCGATGAAAGCAGATTTATGGCAGGTAAAATACCAGATGAAATATTAAATTTATTTAAATACTTGTACAAGAACCTTATTTGATCATATTTACTTTTCATCGAGTTTGACTACTGTACTTACCCCGTAGTCTGACATGGTTCTTTATAAAAGGATGCAAAAGTCTGTTCGGTGGCAAGCAACAAAGATCCCGCCAGAGATCCTGTCTCCGCTCCCATCCGACATTTATCGAGTTTTTGATTTTAAAAAACTTATGTTGTTGATCTGAACTGTCATACATGTTCATGTGGGAAATGGCACTGTTTGGGTATAGCTTGTGGTCATGCTATTACGACATCACGTCATTCGAACATCCATGAATTACCTTATGGTTCAGATATATTACCGGGATGACATATTTCAGACTGCCTACCAGACACAAACCGTGCACCCTCTTCCCCCTCCAAATGAATGGGAAATACCAGACCCTTTGATTACATCTTTATTGCCAATGTAATTACAATTATTTATGTTTGTAATTGATTTGCAGTGTGTAATAAAAAATATTATTATTGTCTTAATATTTCTTACATATTACAAAGATAGAAAAAAACATAATTTACAAGTACCATAGTAATACTAACAAACAAGAAAACATTACATATTAAAAAGATTAATAAGCATTACAAAAGGGAAACTTAGTTGATGAACATAGAGCTTACAACTTGTACACAATGATTCCAAAAAAATCCAAGTACAAATTAACGCTATCTTCAAGTGCATATTTTGGGTTTCAAGATTCTTCTTCGATCACTGATTATCACCAAATTATTGTCTTTTGCTTTGTCAACCAAATAGATAAACCCAGACTGTGGTCCCTGAAAATTTAAGATCAAACACATGACGTATATTGTGTAAATTAATATTAATTCAAAGAAAAATAATAAAAGGATAACCGACATACCTCTTTAGGACAAGCATAAAAAATCCGTCTAGGGTTATTTCTAGTAGTTGATGTCCTTATAATACCTTCAGCATCACAATCGCAATATGCCATTTCTTTGGATTATGAGAAATGAATTTTTAGTAGTAAACTTAACAAGGTAAAAGTGTTTGGACGCTTGAATTCATTTATATAATGTCATTTACTAGGGTTATAGTTACTGACACTATTCCAGAAACACATTCCAGAGCCACATTTCGGAATTGATATTTCAGACCCTAATTCCGGACAACAATTGTTATAGATTCCTGAAACATGAGTCGTCATTCCGAACAGTAAAATTCAGAGATTCTTGACATTATGTGTAGTCATTCTGAACAGTAAATGTCATAGATTCCTGACAGTCTTTCGGGCCCTTATTCCGGAACCCCATTCCGGACCCGCAACAACTTTCCGGAATGACTATTTCGGACACTTGTTTTTCGACCTTAAAATGCACCTAGCATGAATCCTCAACGTTGAAATAAAATTGGAACGAGTTCATCTCATGATGGTGTTTGGCATTGTGGAGAAGGAGATTGTTATGTTTGTTCAGATAATAACCCGTTTCCGAAAGGCCCAAATTTCCCACTTTCGGATAAAATGCCTGATGACGTTTTCCAAGCTATGAAGGCTGCTGGAGAAGCAAACGAAAGGGACTCTGAAAGAAGTCGCACAATAAATCAACATGCACACAATAAGGAGATCAATAAGTTGTGTGCAGAATAGGACCGTCTAACAGATGTCATTAGAATTAGAGCATATTTTATTGACCGGGAACAAAATATATATCCCTTACAGTTTCCTGATTTTTAGAAATCAATCTAAGTATGTATTAATGCTTTTTGTAATAATGTTAATGAAAAAGGATAATTGTCATTTTAGATAATCATCCGTTCGTTTCACAAAATTCAGTTTGGAAAGACATATAATATCCATATTTAAAATTAGATTACACTTGTGGCCGATAACTGGGAACTTGCATCCGATGCAAACTAGCCGTGTCTATATGATTTTCAAACAATTCCATGTAAGTCTCAGTTAGTTCGAAACCATTATCAGTCAATTCGACTCGATCTTCTATTGTTAGAGTTGTCCTACGTGTTTCTTCGATGATGCCAATTGTGTTCACAATTTGTCGTATATCTTCAGACATGGTAATAAGGAGCATTTGCATGTTATACAATGCTACTTTTCTCCGGTCCTCAGGTGAAGGCATTAATGGGATTTCTAGTATTACCATTCGTTGTTTAGCACATTGATAATCACGAATCATTTCTAATGCAGTCGTATCAAAAAGACGTCGTTGCTCGTCTTCAAGAAATGGGATATAATACTCTATAGGCAACTCATCCTGATTTTCCGAGTCACTGGATATTGGAGACTGAAAATAGAATATACCTAAATTATCTTAATATACTATTTAAAAACCAATGTGCATAAAAGTATTTAATAATAACTATAAACACTTCCTAAAACATATCCATAACAAAAAAAAAACATAATTGCAACTAGTCTATCATAACAGGTTTGTCTGCACTTGCTCCGGTGCCATCTTTCAGAATCTTATCTGCTTTCAATTTAAGTTTTAACACACTTTCTGATTTCTTTCTTAATTTTATGGGTGCCTTTGTTGGTTCATTTGTTTTATCTTATTTTGGATATTAGCATCGTCGTCTATCTGCAAAAAAAAAAAAAAAAAAAAAAAATCCCAAAACATTTTAATACATTACCATAAAAATAAATTAGAATTATAATTTTTTTTTCGATTTTACCTTTATCGGGTGCAATTCCAAAAACTTCTGTAAATGGAATACAACTTCGTCGTCCGTAAAACCCACTTTTTTTTAACAACATCCACGCTAACTCGTCCTTTGACTAATATGGGTTATTAAACAGTACTTAGAAAAAAAAATTATATATTATAACTATTCCAGATCATCATTCCGGAATAGATCATCAAGTTTCAGACAACGTTCATCGTATTCCGGACCTACATTACCATTCCAGAACCCCTATAATACCTAATTTCGGACTAAAACAACCAATCAGTAACACATTACAAAGTACTTACATAACATTCATACACGTACAACGACAAAAAGATAAAAAAAAAGGATATTCCAGAGTTTTTCTTCGTGTTCCGGACCATTCCGAAATACGTAATTTGTTTAAGAAAATCAAATGCAAAGTAAGTTAAAGTGTAGAACTTACTTGGTTTGACGAATCCATGCTGAAAACTTGGTCCGAAATGTGGGTAGATGGTACTTCGGATCTACTAATTCCGGAACATGTATTCCAGATATTTTGTGTGTGGGACCTATATATATATATATATATATATATATATATATATATACTATTGGGCTAGGGCCGGTTTTCGGGTCCGGAATGACCCATTCTGAAACAAAGGGTTATTTTTTTTAAAAAGAAATTGATTATATTTTAGAAAAAAACCCAAAAAATATATTAGATGTTATTATAATATAAATAAAATGATATTCCTACATATCGTATATTATGTTGAAAGTCATATCGTATATTATGTTGAAGTCGTTTAATATTTCGATAAACGATAATTCATCATGCGAAACTTAAAAGATATTTGGTGTGTTTTTTCACTATTATTTTCCAAGATTATTATATATAATCTGTATGGACCATTTTATTATAACTTTTCTATACATACGATTTTTAGTATGTTATTATAATATAAATGAAATGATATTCCTACATATTAGAAGGGGGTGAGAATGAACTAAATAAGTAAGATACTGGGGGAATTTGTAAATTGAAATTTATTTTGGTAGATTTGATTCCGGTAATTATAAGAGACAAACTACTTTGAAATAATATCTATATCAAACAGTAAATATACATAATTTCATTCTCTTTTTGAGATGACATATTCTTATATATTATGATATGAACGAATTGAAGTTAAGTCCAAAATTTGAAGTCATTTTATATTTTCCAACTTTTTATTAATCTTTTTTAAAATTTTGAGATGACCATATCCTTGAATTGGAATCTCTTTAGCCATGGAGACCAGGGTAAAGGATGCTGTATCATCTTTAGAAATTGGTACTGATGATGTTCGTGTAATCGGTATCAAGGGGATGGGAGGTGGTGGGAAGACAACTTTGGCCAGAGTGGTTTTTGATCAAATATCCTTTCGGTTTGAAGCTAAAAGCTTCGTTGAGAATGTTAGGGAAAATTCAAATACTTCTTTGTCTGGTTTGAAATCGTTGCAAAATCAAGTCCTTAAAGATGCCTTATTTGATCAAGGCATCAATGTGAGTAGTGTTCATGATGGGAAAATCATGATGAAGAAGAAGATGCGTAATAAAAAGACTCTTCTTGTTCTAGATGATGTGGACCATATTGACCAGCTTGAGGCGTTAGCTGGTGATCTTAATTGGTTCAAGCCGGGAAGTAGAATTATCATTACAACAAGAGATGAGCAGGTGCTCGTGGCACACCGGGTGAAGTTGATTCTTGATGTCAATTTGTTATCAGATGAGGAAGCGATTTGCCTCTTCAGTAGGTATGCATTTGGGGGAGAGATTCCAATTCAAGGGTATGAAGAGCTATCGGAACAAGTTGTACGGTATGCTGCTGGTCTTCCCTTAACGATAAAAGTTTTGGGTTCATTTCTTTGTGGTAAAAATAAGAGTGAATGGATAGATGCACTAGAAAGATTAAAAACAATTCCGTTAAAGGAAACTCTTCAAATATTAGAATTAAGCTATAACAATCTGGAGGAAGATTACAAAGAAATATTCCTAAATGTTGCATGCTTACTGAAAGGATGGTTGAAAGACTTGGCAATCGAAGCGCTTGAAAGTTGTGGATTTCATGCAACAAATGGTTTAAGAGTTCTTGAGCAAAAATCTCTCATAACTATTAATCATTATAAGCGTGTGGGCATGCATGACCATATTGAAGAAATGGGCAGAAATATTGTTCGTCGTTTGCACCCAGATAAGCCTGAGAAACACAGCCGATTGTGGATTCATGATGAAATTAAAGATATATTGGCTAATGACTTGGTAAGGTCAAGTTTATTTGTAAGCTTTATGAAACTAGCCTATTATGTATTTCTTATGACACAAGTTTCATGGTGACTGCTTTTGCATTACAGGGTACTAAAGCAACAAGATACATAATATTCCAGTTAAGGGGAGGCAATTTTGAAATTGTTATGAAGGGTCTTAGAAAGATGAAGGAACTTAGATTTCTTCACATGTCTCAGGATATAATGCATGCTTTTTGTGGAGAAAGGAAATATGATAATGTCAGCCAATACTTTCCAAATGCTTTACAATATCTGCATTGGTACCAGTACCCTTTCTGGTCTTTACCCAACACATTTCAAGCTAATAATCTTGTTACACTTAAGATGGAATGGAGCAATATCAAACAACTTTGGGAAGGGGGAGAAAGAAAGGTAGATTAATTATGGTTGATTGATTGTTTTACATGATGCTATACATCCATTGCTTTGTAATTAAACCAATATTGATCTTGTTCATTTGTTTATGTTAGGTTCTTAACAAGCTCAAGATTCTTGACCTCAGTTATTCAAAGTTGACGACCCTTGATCTTGAGCTTATTCCAAATCTCGAGGTGTTGTCTCTAAATGGATGTCGTGACTTGGTACAACTTCACATGCTCAATGGATGTCGAAAGCTCAAGTCAATCGACCTTAGCAATTCAAAGGTGAAGACAATCGACCTTAGCAATGCTTTGGTAGAACTTCGCTTACCAAATGGATGTCTAAAGCTCATATCTGTTAACCTCAGTGGTTCTAAATTGAAGACCATTGACCTTCATTCATGTGTGAATCTTGAGCTTTTACATCTTAAAGACTGCAACGCTTTGGTAGAACTTCACATGCCTCGTAAATGTCTGAATCTCAGATCCCTGACACTCACTAATTCACAGTTGAGGACCCTAGACATTGGGTGGACTCCGAATCTGGAGGATTTAGATCTTAACTACTGTTATGATTTGAAAGACCTTCACATGGCTGATAAATGTCTAAAGCTCACATCCCTCAACATTAGTCATTCAAAGTTGAAAACCTTTGACCTTGGGTTGACTCCAAATCTGAAGAAGTTAGATCTAAAAGAATGTAAGAATCTGCTACAACTTCATGTTCCCTTTGGATGTCTAGAAAATCTTGTCTACTTGGACTTAAGTGGCTGTTTGAGGTTTACATCTTTTTTGTTTGACAAAAGGAATGTTGCTTCTAGTAGAAGGGATGAATCACTTGAGATTGGTCCTTTAGCTGAGTCACATCTGATTGCCAAGTCCCTTGAAAGATGTCCACTTCACCCGGACAATACTTTGCGACAGTTTCAGTTTGAATGCTTTTACATTGATGATCCCAAGGACCGTGTGACTAGAAATCTTGAGAAGCTTATTTCTGAAGGTCTGTGTGCTTGCACAAACCTTGAGGCACTTTCAGAAAGCATTTGTGGGTTACGATGTTTAAGAAAGCTTAAACTCGAAGCCTATCCGGAGGCTCCCAAGGAACTTGACCACGAAGAATGTCTAGAAGAGCTAAGTATTTCTATGACAAATATGAAACATCTTCCGGATAGCATTTGTATGTTGAAACATCTGGAAGTTCTTCAACTTAAACATTGTTGGAGTCTTGAGAAGTTACCTGAGGATATTGGCCGATTAGAATGTTTAAAAAATCTGACTTTATCAGATACAAAGATTAAACATCTTCCTGATAGCATTTGTATGTTGAAACATCTGGTATTTCTTGAGCTTCGTGATTGTTCCTTTCTTGAGAAGTTGCCCGAGGATCTTGGCCAACTAGAATGTTTAGAGACGCTATATTTGTTGTATGCAAAGATTGAACATCTTCCAGATAGCATCTGTATGTTGAAACATCTGAGAACACTCGCTCTTCATTGTTCTTCACTTAAGACATTACCAAAGGATCTTGGCCAACTAGAATGTTTAGAGACGCTATATCTGTCATCCTCAGTGATCAAGCATCTTCCGGATTCTATTTGTATGTTGAAAGATTTGAAACAGCTCGATCTGATTCATTGTTCATCACTTGAGAAATTACCAGAGGATCTTGACCGATTAGAATGTTTACAGAGACTATCCCTAAGGAGGTGCAAGCTTTTACGAGATTTTCCAATCAGCATCTGTAAGATAAAACGTTTAGAAAGTTTAGGGGTAGAAGGTACATGCATAAGCCATCTTCCACAAGACATTTGTTTTATGAAAGGTCTGCGTATTTCAGGGTCGAGAGGCCTTCTTGAATCCTGTGGTTTTACATCCGAGATACAAACCGTCTCGTACGAAGATACCTGCTTTGTAGATGTGTGAATAACAGTCTATTAGAGTCCCAAATCAGTGCGACATGATTGGTATATGTCTCTATTTATGATGGAGTCTACCCTAGATCCATAAGGGCTCTTCTAGAGAGAAAATCAGGACTATATATGGAGTATATATAGCTCTTTTGGAGGGTATATGATTTTGTGATGCTCCAAAGGCCTAGGAATTCACAAAGAACCATTCTGATAGGTACTTTCTTTGCTTTCTATTTGATCATCTTATTTTGATTTGAATTTTGAAATCAATGACAATAATTAATTCTCTTAGCAAAATTCAGTAATTATACTTTAAAAAAGATACTAGTACTTGCATAAAAGAAAAATCCCTGTTATAGTTTTAGCTTGGTTTTATAGAGTAGCTTATTCACCGTTTGTGTTAAATTTAGAGTCTTACTGAGTTAAAACCATCAATGTCTTGACAGATCCAAATACAATGTCAGAATTTATCAAGAACTAAATCAAAAAAATCCGAGCAACAGATGTGGATTTCATGCAAATTGTACTTAACAAGTAAAACTTGTATTCCCTTCTTTTTCCCATTTTTTGCATCATTATTGTATTTGTGTTGCTATTGATCCTAACATTTAAATCATTTCTTGCAATTTGGAATTTGATGTCCAGAAAGCAATTGGAACACATGCGAAGACTTTGTGAAGCTATTGGGTAGAGAAGGAAACATCACAGGGTTTTGAGTGGGAATTGAATAAGTCAAAATTACAACGACTTCTGTAGAAAGTTTTGATGAAATTGGTGGGAACTTTGATATGAATTTTTAAATGGTCATGTTAATAATATGTTAAGGAACAGTTTTTGCATAATTTAAAGGGTAAATAGCATAAAAAAAACATTAAGTTTACACCAAAATTTTAATTTGACAGTGTGCTTTTTTTTTTATCAAATTTGACACTGGGTTATCCAATTTTTTTACAATTCTGACAATTTGACTGGTCAATTAGGTTACCTGTTGATGTGACATGACGACGTGTCAATCAGGTTACCTGTTGATGTGACATGATGACATGTCAGTTTTAATGACGTAGCATGTTAACATGACATGCGAACGGGTTAAAATTGAAATTTTTTCCCACAAAAGACACTAAGTTTTCACTTTTTTCCGATTTTGACATTAAGTTTATTTATTATTTTTTTTTGCAATTTTGACATTCTATTTTTTTATTTCAAATCGAACATCATTTTTTTCCAATTTTGTTCAATGTTGACAATTTTCCATTTGAAACCGGATAAATATATTTTTTATTACATTTTAAATCATATAAATACATTTTTTTCGTTTAAAAACCACATTTTATATAAATACAAAGTCTTTTTTTTACATTCAAAACATAATGTTATGCATAAATATGCATCAGTTATATTATGAGAATCACACTAACCATAAGTTTTGAATAAGATGTAAAAATTTCACAGGTTACTAACCTGACCTCTGTACCTTGATCGACTACACGCCTCAAAACCTCCAAACTCATTTTAAAGTTGTGTATTTAATATAAAATACGGTTTTTATATAATTAATACATATTTGTACATAAAGTTATGGTTTGAATGTAAAAAAAACCCTTGTATTTATACAAAAATATGGGTTTTAAATGAAAAAAAATGTATCTATACGGTTTAAAATGTATTAAAAAAATATTTATAGGATTTTAAATGGAAAATGGTGAACATTGAACAAAATTGGAAAAAAATAATGTTCGATTTGGAACAAAAAATAGAGTGTCAAAATTGAAAGAAAAAATTAAACTTAGTGTCAAAATAAAAAAAAAGTAAAAACTTAGTGTCTTTTGTGGAAAAAAATTCAATTTGGACATGTCAACATGTCATATCATCAAAACTGACAAATCATAATGTCACATCGGTAACTTGATTGACTGGTCAAGTGGTCAGAATTGTAAAAAATTTGAAAATACAGTGTCAAATTTGAGACAAAAACAACACAGTGTCAAATGAGAAATTTAGTGTAAACTTAATGTCTTTTGTGCTATTTACCCTAACTTAAAATCATAAACAAGTTTTTGTTTACAAAAATTTGTTGGGAATTGGTATGCATTCATTAAACGAAAGATGTTTGACTTTTGAGTCGGACTATAACTTTCATTATTTACTGATTTTATTCATGAAATTGTATGGAACAATATATGTGAGTAAATTATGTGAGTGTTTACTGGTGTTATACTAAGCTACTGAATATGCTTAAATAATAAGATTATTTGAAAATTACAAATTTCAGCAAAACGTCTAAAGTTGGAACAGGGGTTTTAAACTTGAAATAGCCATCGGTCATGTAACGCTCGATAATTCTCCAAGGCCTATTGAGAGCATTTTGATGTTTTGGATCCATTCTCCACGCAAGTAAAGGTCAAAGCAAGGTGGTGGTACAAATGAGAAGTTGTAGATTTGGGATTGTTGCTTCATTTCATACCTTTTCAAGGTATAAAGTCTTGAACTTAATCCATGAGTGCTTAGATCTCTTATGCTGAGTTTTTGGACATTTTTGGTCCCAAGGATGAAGCTTTATTGCTCAAAACCGATTCCTAGGCTTAGGGTTGCCACCCTTGGTGCTATTTGTGTCCCTAAGTCAGAAAGTTGTTATCTTGAAGGTCTTGGAGAGTTTATGCATGAGTTTTGGCCATTTTCATAAAAGTAGATTGTCATACTCCAAGCTTGGACCCATTTGGTGGTTTGCAAGCCACCAAGTAATCGACTTTATGGGTTAAGACGCTTTAATGGACTCAGATATGTGTTTGGAGCTTTAGGTCTTAAGTGGTTAAGCTCTTTTTGAGATTATGGCTTAACAGAGGAGTACGCTAAGCGTACAATCCCGTACGCACAACGTACAAGCCATGCAGCCTATACGCTTTGCGTATAGATGAGTACGCCCTGCGTACTCAGTCAGAGTGGGCTTTTCATTGTTGGGCCTCAGTTTGGGCCACTTCCATGGAATAGTGGCTTGGGTCGAGGTGGACCACCTGGAATTTTGGCTAATGGGCTGAAGAAATATTTTAGGACAATAGGCTAAGGCCCATGAGAAAGAATTAGACCCAATTGGAAATTGGGCCATATATTGGGCCTTGTGGGAGTAATTATCTCTTTTGAGCCATGAGTAGAGTCCATTTTGGCACAAGAGTATGTGAGGGGTAGAATGGTCTTTTACCCCAGTGAGGACTTATGGTTAAGTTGTGAGGATCCCGAACTTAATTAGTTTTATTTGTTGGTTGATAGCTTGGGGAGTCGAAGGATCAATAGTTCGGGAATCTGTCAGCTAGCAGCCAGACTTCAGCTTTGTGAGGCGAGTTTCCTCCTGGATTGAACGGGTCAAAGGCACCAATGCTGGTCCGTGTTTATTATGTGTGCTGATTAGTATCTAAGTGTGGGCAGGGCCCGTATCTTAACATTACTTGAGTATGGATATGTAATGGATTGGTATGTTTTGGTTATACTTGTTGTCTGTGTGATACTTGTATGTGTTTCTTAGTAAGCTGAGTGTGGGCAGGGGCCCGTATCTCTTAGTTAGCCGAGTGTGGGCGGGGCTCGTATCTCCTAGTTAGTCGAGTGTTGGCGGGGCCTGTATCTCCTAGTTAGCCGAGTGTGGGCGGGGCCCGTATCTCCTATTTAGCTGAGTGTGGGCGAGGCCCGTATCTCACTAAGTGTGGGTAGGGTCCGTATTTCATAGATTGGGGCCCGTTATCTGAGTGTGGGCGGGGCCCGTATCTCCTTGATTGTTGGCGGGGCCCGTATCTCCTAGTTGCATGTTATGTGTATGGTATGCGGTAGTTTGGAGGAAATTCACTAAGCTTCGTGCTTATGGTTTTCAGTTTTGGTTTCAGGTACTAGCGGTAGCAAAGGGAATAGCTCGAGATGATTGCATTGCACACACTATGATGTTTTAGCCTGGGATGTTTACTCTGATGTTTTGTTATAGATATTCAGTTTTATAAACATGATTGTGATGTTTGGATATTTGACCTATGTGTTGACGAGAGGGTTTGATAACCATGGTTTTATTTAATAATTAAAAATGAAATTTTTGGTTCTGAATTTTGGGATGTTACAAGTTGGTATCAGAGCTTTGGTTTGAGGGATTCGGGCATACTCTTGGGTGTGTCTGAACTCAAATTGAGGACTTGGTATGAAAATTTTCAAAAGAAAATCATTTTTATAAAAATGAATTTTAAAAGATAAAAGGGTGTGGTGCATGCAATCAGCCGAGCTCAAGTAAGTTCTCCTAAATTACCCATATACGTTTATGTTATGATATGAATTGTGAATATGTGAACTGCATGCTAGATCAGGGCTAAGGATCTAGGAAGGATGCCTTGTATGCCTACTATATGAGCTTATTGAACTGCATGCTAGTACTGATTAGTCAGTGAGATGATGGTCTGATTAGGATATGCTTGGTTTTGTTTACTCGATGCCCGAATGCTGCTTGCATTGTGCTTTTAGGAGTTCTAGTTATCTTTAACTAACTAGTAAACGAATATGTTAAGTTACATATTACGAGGACTAAATAATTTCAGAAGGTTAGGTTTAGCCTTATTTCGCAGCTCTCGTTTGAGTCTAACCGTTGTAGGGAGAGACCTCTCATTCGAAGAATTATCTAGTCTTAGTAATATTTAATGGTATTCGCAAGCTAGTTAGGGAAAGGTAGCAGGGACTTCTTATGAAGCTGATGGCGGAGAGTGGGTTAGAGATTATCCTAGGGCAAGCTTAGGATGAGATTAGCGCGGAAAGCAGTAGTAGTGAAAGGGACTTGGTGGAGTCAAGGCAATTCTTGAGGAAAGTACGGATAGAAGTGGAAGGTAGTATGGGCCCGTACTACTGAAAGTAGAGGATCCGTACTCGAGTCAAGGAGAGCTGAGATGAAAACCAGGGACCTTGTAGTGTGTATGATCCCTCGGGTTATGATGAGTATTCTGATGATTGTTATGATGTATTTTCAGTATGGTGACGTTACACAATAGACCAGTT